TAAAAAAAAGATTATGTGCGTACTGTTTTGAGTGGGGATAGAATTAGTGGCATTTGGACAGTTTAGTAGGAATAGCAGGTTAATAAGACACATTGAATTGAATAAACAGGTTGCTACCCATGACTAAAAGCATGTTTAAATAAAATTGAAGTTCTCTTAGAGTGAAAGGCAAACTTATATTTCCTCCCATAGAACATCTGTTTGTTTAGGGCTGTCTGCCGACTAATCCTTTAAGAAGTTGTTGAACTTCCCTAAGTGCTGAAAACCTAATACTGTTTTTAAAATAGCTGTTTAAGTAATCCTGTCTTCATACATGTATTTTAAGTGTTTAACAAAAAGGATAATTATCTTTGTAAACTTATGATTTCTTAGGCCCAACTTCTAATTAGGACTTTGTCTTTTTTTTTTTTTCAATTAAGGTTATATGCTTGTTTAATGACAAATTAGGAAGCATTTTCAGAGTGCTGGGGAAAAAGTAGTTCATAAGAGTACATGGTTTGTGGGAAGAGAGATTGGTTTTTGTTTTTATTTTTTAGATATCAGCATAGTGTTAATATCTTAGAGATGTACGAATAGGAAACATTCTCTTCAGAACTATAATCATAGAGGTAGATGTAGTAGAATCATAGCGCTAGTTGTAGTTCTGTGTGGTTCTGTGTGAAAGTCCTCAGCTCCTCTGAGGAATCTTGGACTAATCACTTCACCAAACCAGCTACAAAACTGAAATGGAATACAAATAAAAATACATCTCAAGGTGAAATGAAAATCATTAGTTTTCTCTTTTTTCTGCACGAACAAAGCTTTATTGAGCGAAAGTAGCTCGCGAGGAGAGACAGAGAGAGACGATGCAACGCTAACCTTTGTCTCCCCGAATTATTAGTGTTTTTAAAGCTTCTAACTAACATTCTGTGTTATAGAAATTCTTTAATCTCTTGCAACCCAGCTGTTAAACTCGGTGTTCAGAAACAGTTTGTTGTTTAAAGGCTGATGAAAAAAGAGAATATAATAATTCTGGGAGTGGTCCTTTGGGTTGACTTTTCTTATTTTTCTTTCCGTTGGTTGATTTATTCTTCACTTTGCTCCTAAAAATTTACCATAGCGTAATAGCTAATGGTACAAGTTTCTCAAGCCAGACTGGCTGTTTTCATCACCACTAGCTGTGTAGTCTTGGGCAAGTTATTTCTTTTTGCCTCCATTTCTTAATCTCTAAAGTAAATAACAATGATATCTGCCACTCAGTTTTGTTGTGAATTAAGCAAGGAAATACTTGTAAATCACTCAGAATACTGCCAAGCATATAGTAAGTGTCCAAAAAACAAAAATGTTAGCTGTTCTTACAGTTCTGCTCCCACAGAGCCCTTTCCCTTTTTCTCTGCTTTTAACATCTCTCCCCTCAATGCGCGTGCTCCCAACTCATGTGTTTGTCCTTATGATTAGGAACAACCAATATTAATACCTTACTGCTTGCTATTACCTAATCAAATTTTACCCTATTTTAATCATTTCTCATATGACAGCTGTTTCTCCATGTGATCTTTTAAGAGTACTTTCAAATTTTGTATTTTGATTATGTTGACAGATTTTTTATTCCCTTCCTAGGGTAGTTTCTAGTAAATGAGTTCTATTAGTTATGTTTGGAGCCCTGGTGGTGCAGTGGTTTAGAGCTCAGCTGCTAACCAAAAGGTTGGCAGTGCAAATCCACCAGCCACTCCTTGGAGACCCTCTGGGGCAGTTCTACTCTCTACTCTGCCCTGTAGGGTTGCTATGAGTCAGAATCAACTCAACAGCAGTGGGTTTGATTTGGTTTTGATATTAGTTATATTTAAAGTGAAGGAGAAAAAAATACCTATTTAGTTAGTGTGATGAAACTAAATGATTTGTGATGATTGAATACCTGTCATCAAGGTATATCTTCTAACACTAACACTGGCTTTCGTGACGTGGAAGCCAGAACCACTTAACTATAACCATGGCTCTTACGGATGACCCTGTTATAGCTATTAATTTAGAGTACAACATGGTACGTCTTGTATTAGGAGTCTATGCTATGTTTTAATGTCAGCAAAAATCATTTACAAATTCTGGCTTATGACCTGTCTCTAAAATTAGTTTTTAAACACTTCCTTATGCCATTAACAGCAGACAAGAGACAAAAGGTGTGGCAGGTAGCTATTTGGTCTAGTGAACATTTTGGTTAAAAACAATGGCAATATGAGCTTTCCTACTGATGTTATATCTTTAAAACTTTTCCAGTTATTTTATTGAGCCAATTTTTCTTTTTATGTGAATCTAATTAAGGCTTGTTTCCTAGCAATGTATATTTGGTGATCTTTTTTGTTTCCTTTCTGTTTATGTAATATGTTAAGGCAGCAGTCCTTGCACAAAAATTCACTTATGGTTAAGAAAAATAATTTAAGATGGTGAATAGGATAGTTTCTTCCTTTGTTTTACTTATTTAATGGTTTTTTCCCCTAAAATGGGCTCTGTGTTTTTGTAGCTCTTAAAACATAAACTAGCATTCTCTAAAAAGGAAGCAATATTTTGCATGTTTTATTATATTTGTATCTTGTATGCTGAGGTTTTTTTTTTTGAGAGAGAGAGAAAAACATATGTTTGGTGAGTACATACTTCTTTCAGTATACATGATTCTGTAGATTGGAATCTAGTGAAACAGGACTCCCATTTGAAAACCAAAGAGTAAGGCTACAACAGAGGATAAAAGTGAACAAATGATTAGCCAGGGGCTAATAGAAATTCTGGGAAGAGTGACAGATTGTATATTAGAAAGAAATATGATCTCATATTCATTGATGCTTTTTACAACTAAAGATCCGAAAGAAATAATAGAAAATTACTGAAAGAGATAAATGTCTGCAACTTTAGAAATGCATGTGGTGTTGGATTAATCCAAACAAGAAAGACTGGTGGGCAGATAATAAATTTCATTGTGTAGGAAGTCTGCATTCCTTGTTTTCAAGGTACTTTAGTCTTTTTTTTTCCTCACAAGATATATTTAAGTAGCTCTAGGCCAGTTTCAGAAAATTGAATTCGTGATTCTCATCGTCACACCATGTGTGTATGGTTCTTTGGAACAGATAAAGTGTTACAAAGACTTCGAATCCTTGAGTGGAGGAGGTTAAGCTAAATATTCCTTCTGTTCTGTGATAAATTGATAACATTTTTCCTTATGAGGATATGAGCAATATAGAACACCTTTTCACATATAATCAGTTGTAATGTTCCTTCACTAAAAGAGAGTTTGTAGAAGTGTCTCAGTGGGTTTTAGTCAATAGCTATACTTTTACTGGGGAGGGAGAAATTACATAGTCATAAACTGAAAAATATATATATATTTTCATTTCAGAGACATGATTATCTACTTAACTGTTCTGTGTTGTACTTTGCCACAGGTACATTTTATTTACTAAAAAAACCGTGTGTATGTTGGGGGGGTGGGTATTGTCTATCTTCATACAGATTTACTTGTAAACTCTAATCCTTCCCCTTGACTCCTAATACTATTTCAGTGGTATACTTTATGATATTATTTGTATAGCCAGTATTTTTAAACTTTTTTGAAATAAAATCACATAATAAGGTGTTGGTTTGCTATTTGTGAAATTATGTTTTTAAACACATAAAATTAAGTATCTTAAAGCATTTTAAACTTTGGAAATATATTTAATTGTCTAAAATCCAGAAACCTGTTACTTGTTTCTCTTTTGTACAAGCTTTAACTTTTCCTAAAATATAAGTGTCCATTTTAAGAATCCTCTTTGGAAGTGGATAAGAACTGTGGTGAATATCCTTTTTTCGCCAGTGTTAAGTAGTCACAACAGCACTGTAATCATGGAGAAGTTTAGCTACTTTCAAATATGTTGGTTCTTTTTAAACTATTGGAGGCTTTTAATCAGTTTTTCCCCAGATTTTTGCCGTTCAGACTTGGCATTCATTTGTGTTCTTAATTTGTAGGTCCAAGGAGAAAATATAATGTTTCCTGAAATATGAATAAGTAATAAAATTAATGTACACACAGAGAACACTGTTTATTCTTCATGAACATTTTCATGTTGGCTTTTCTTTTCTGTTTCAACACAATCTCTCGGACGGTAGAGAGACTCTTACTCTGTTAAACTGAAGTTCTGACTCCAAATCATCTGAATTTTTATATACTTATGCAGTAAGTTTAAACTCAAGTGTTTACATATAAATGGTCTCTGTATTCTGTAATCATATTAAAATATTTCCTACTATATGACAGAAGGTTGATAGAATGTTTTTTTCATAGCTACATCAGAAATAGGATCATTATCAAAATGCTGTGAAAGCTAGTTATTTTTTGGATCCTGTTGATACAATGTGGGAAGTAATGCAAGATTCAGATCCTGATTGCATAATACAGATGAACCCTTTAATAAAATAGAATAAAAGCTAGAAGTTTTAACTCTTTAATGTACTTAATTGTTTCTGTTGAATCTTCTCTAATCTGTTTTAGAGGATGATTTTAAATGTAAGTCATTATAGATTCTGTTTTTGTCTTACAATAGTGTTCATAATGTGTGGGAGTAGCAAAGAGAGGAAGAGAAAGGGAGCAAGAGGGAGCAAGACTTCTAGGGGAGGTCTGTCTCTAGTAAGAAAGAACAAATAATCAAAGTTATTCGCTATACTTATTAAACTTCTATGTCAATTGTTGCTAAACTAATTTCTAGTGCCTTGGACAGAGGTGATAACACAAGAGAGTTTTTGCAAAACTTCAAATCAAATTTCATTTATAAATGGACTAAAATCAAGACCCTTTCTCTTTCCTAAATAGTTTGCTTTGGACTTGGCAATGTAAACACAATTGTTAATGAACTTACCAATTATTCTTCTCTACGAAGTATGAGTTAATTTTCCACATGTTGTTATAGCCCTAATGGACATCTGTGTTCCTGGATAGATTATTCTTTACATGGTAAAGTATAGAGTTCTAATCGGGCCTCTTTTTATTCTTTTTGCAGCTATGTCATCTTATCTTCTAATTATTAAAACAGAGCTTCCTGCTGCTATTTCAGAATTTTTAGCTGGAGACTACAGTGGGTAAGAAACAATATTTTGCACTGTGTCTGTTCGTTTATTAATTCAATAAATATTTATTGAGCTCTAGTAAGAAGTAAAACAAATGTAGTCCCTGCCCTCAAGAAACTTACAAATCAGGAGAAGGAAACTAATACTAATAGAGAAGGAAACATCCAGCAGGCATTTAGTGATTACTCATTATGTACAAAGTACTGTTTTGTGAATGATCAGAAACACCAGCTGTAGTCCTTGTACTCTGCGGGGAGGTGGGGAAGGTACCAAGATAGGATAATAGGGGTATAAGATAGGTCTTGGAGAAGAGTAAAGGAGAAGTTTCTAGGGATATGGAAGTTTGGGGATGGGGAAAGGCTGAAAGTACAATAAAGGTCTTAAAGGAGGGGAGTAGATAACTGTTCTCACTTCTCAACAAATCACAGGAAAAAAAAATGTGGCAGTTAAAACCATACTAGTGTGAGATTCTTATTATAAAGCATGATAAAGAATAAATTATTTGCAGGAACTTAATTGTTTCATTTCTGGTTTTTAAAATCATAAACAATGCTAAACCTTATTAAATATCTCGTTTGTCTTTCCTTATTTTAATAATACTGGGCCCCAAAGGCTATTGATTCATCACTTTATAGGGGAAAACAAAAAGAAACAAATTAATTAGGCATTTTCTTTCACTACATAGAACAAGAAATTTTGAGAAAAATGAACTTGAGAAGACGGAATAAATGCTTTTAAGTACCATCAAGTTATCGTTTCACATAGTTTTTAAACCACAACAGAAAATCAGACAGACTTTTAGGTTTAAATATTTAGTTATTTTGCTCCAATAACTGAACTTGTTCTAGAATGTAGGCCAAGTTTTCAAAATTTAGTTTTTGGCTTTTACAACTTAGCTTCCATTGAAGAATTCTACTTAGGCAACTACAGATACATATTTGTAAGGAAATTATGGTGTACTTTAGATTTGAATAACTACCAGCAAGAGACTGTGGTTGAAAGACAATAGACATAAGTCCTTAGTGATTTTTCATCAGAAGAAGAAATTGTCCCTTTGTATAGTGCTTTACAGTCTACAAGGTTTCCACATTCATTACCAAACTTGATACTCAACAACTACTGTTTTATCTACAGCTTTGTTTTAATTTTACGCTTAGTTTTATAAATGATTGTTACAAGAAATAGCTATGTGAAAATCACTTTTTTGTCTGCTGTAAAAATATTGAGGACAACCTGTATTACTAAAAAAATTCTATGTGAGAAATTCTTCTATAATTTAAGGCTAAGAAAAGATGTATTTCTCCTGAGAAACTCAAGGCAACATGAGGTAGAATAAAGAATGCTAGACTAAGAGTTACGATTTGTATTCTATCCATTTCATATTCGGTGATCTCAGAAAATTCACTTAATGTCTATTAGCTTTATAACTTTGAGACTTAGACTTCTTCACCTGGGATAATGGGAGTTCCAATATTGTCTTCTTAACAAAGTTGAGATGATCAAATAAGATGTACATACACATGCTTTTGTAAGCTGATAGCACAAGGTAAATGTAGAGAATTAAGAAATTCCAGGAATAAAAGTATACTAAAAGTGCTGTTTCTGTTTTTGCTCTGACTGCTAGGGAGCTTAGAACAAAATTTAAATGCATCACATAAACTATGTCATCAAAATAGTTGTCACATTTGTTTTTCTTTCTCTTTGTCCTGAATTTGGTGGTTTCTGTTTACATTTTTTATGTAATATGTCCTTGTGGAAAGAGGTGGGATATAAATACACTGAAATTTTAGAAATAATTAAAGTGGTAGTTATTTGACAGAACTGATGTTTAAACCTAAGTCGTCTTCTTTTAAAATGATACTCCTACAATAGCTTCATTTTAAATCAATCACCATTTACATCACTGGGTGTTTTTTTTTTCTTTTTTCTAGTTTGTCTTAAAAACAAAAGTTAACTTCTGTCTACTCATATTAGTAGAAATTTGATTAAAATTGTTATTTTTGCATGTCAGGAATGAATGTTTTAAACTATATATTACAAAATACCATAACCAGTTCGCATTATCCGTTATGTTGTTTTAAAATTGCACATCTTTTTAACAACCTCATCTTATTTTAAATGTAATGTATATTTCCTAGTTTGGATTTCAAAGTTTTGAAAAACATTAATAGATGACTAATTATATTAATTCGTTAAAATGCAGATAAATTACCAGTTTTTAAAGCTTAATGCTATAAAATAATTAAGAAATAAATATGATGGCAAGCAACTTAACTATCTAAATAGGGCAGTTTATCTTCTAGATAGAATTACATAGCAGTATTTCTTCTATGAGATCAAAATGATATTGATATGCTCTCATTTTAAGGTTTGATTTACAATAAATTGCAGTTAGGATCTTTCAGGTGTGCTTATTTTCTGGGTTATCTGTGACATTTGATGTGCCTTTGAGAAATGTGAACCTTCGTAAAGATGTTATCAAGAAGAAACTTTGTGTTCATAATATTGTAATTTCAGAACTTACTATTAGAAACCAGAGGCTATAATACTTATACAGAACTTTTATGATGTATCTATACTTTTCATAGAATAACTTTAAAATCTATGGCTGTTAAAATTTGGAAGCTCTCTGTTAACATTTAATGATCTTGTCGGGAATATGATTGACACAATTAAGTTGTCTTGCATTTGAGTTACATAATTGATATGGGATGTGAGTAAGATCATAATTCAGAACATATGATACTCTTGTCCCATTCCATTTGAGAATGAAATTAAAGCAACTCACAAATAAATCTGGTTTTCATTAAAATATGGAAAAAAACATCTGCATGCCAAAGCATTTGCAATACAGCTAAGGATTTCTACTTTATATTTCATACTTGGAACATTTTTATCATATAGGATTAAATCCACAGATCAAACAAGTTTTCTAGGAAGCACAAAGCTTTTTACTATAATTGTTTTAGCTTAAAGAGAATGTATATTTAGATCAGTAGGAAAACAGGAGTTCTGTTGGATAATTATTCTCCCCTCCTCTCCCTTAGGAAAAAATTTACAGTTAGCACATCCTTCTAAAACCTTGATTTATAAAAAATTTACTTAACATATGCTTTTTGAGATTTATTTTTACTGATTTGTATTTCTCAGGCTGGGATTTTATTTCATACGTTTAATCATTTCTGTTCTTTGGAAATTATCCATTGTCAAACACAATTCAGTTGGATGTGACATGCACATAATATCTAAACTAACTTTACTGTGCATTACTGTATTACCTTTATTGTTATGAATGGTAAAGAAAAGCACTGTATTTATAATTGGCTTTATTAACATAAATTAATAAGGATAATAACCAGTAGCCAAGCCAGGGATAGAGAAGTTATATTTTACAATAAAGTTCTTTTATACTAGGAATTTAATGTTCAATACTGTGAAGAGAGTATAAAGTACCATCTTGAAATGATTGAGGCAGTGTCTGAAAAATACCATAAACTGAAATGAGTGACTATTCAAGAGTAGAGAGTATCTCCACTGCTACTATCACTAAGATCATCATCATCCTTTTGCTGATTTTACAGACATGTAAAACAAAGCTGTTGAACCAGATGATCTCGAAGCTTTACGATCCCTTCCAGCTCTAACATTCCATGACTGTGTGATTCTGAGTTACTGCTGGAAGGAGGTAAAGTCATCTTCAGACCCAGTTAGTGCTTTGGGCAGTCATGTGGCTTCAACAGACATGAATGGTTGTCTGAAATAGTATAAAGTAACTATTCAGGATTTCAAAAAGTGGTGCTTTATTCTTATACAAGGTAAAAGAGTCTTTGGGCCTAGGGGTTATTAGCATGCTCCCTTTTGCGCAACTCAACCTTCATGACAGCAGGAACAGCAGAACTAACAGATGGAATCTGCTTTGGTGCTCCTTTGGGCTTTTTTTTTCTCCTGGCACTGCAACTGTCTGGGTCTGATATTGGGTCCCAGAGGGAAGGAGATTACAGGCATAGAGCCCTGGGCTTTTTGCCAGCTTCAGAAATTTAGTTGCCAGCTGTTCCTCAGTGAGGAATATTTTGAAGCTCCCATTTTGATTCTGATTCAAGAGTGACTAGAAGATTAGTATGTTGAGTATCATTTTATTTTTTTAATATGTGTACTCTCTTAGGACCGCCTACATACCAGAATTGGAAGGGCACGTGCAAATGCATGGAGCACAGCTTCAGGTCCATTCGAGCTAGAAATTCTTGTGCATAGGTTTTCGTTTCCAGCACATACATTTCTTAAGGGTGTGAATTAGGGTGGAGAAGGGAAAAATACGATCATGGTGCTATTTTTGATGCCGTTCCTTCTCTTATTCTGTTAAAGAAAAGGAGGAAGTTGTCAACACCCAATAGTAATGACTGAAGATACGTTGGAGAGGACTTCCTCATAAGCAAGGGTATAAAAGACATACAGTGAATCATTAAATCCATGTTAGAAGCCAGGGGTTGAAACCTTATAGAGGAAAACCTTTTCTTAATTTAATATGGCAGCGGGAGTCTTTGGGTACCTGTGGAAAGTGAAAGAGGATGCATTATTGCAAACAGGATTTTGAGAACATCTGCCAAATGATTTGAAAACATAGTCTCTAGAATCCTAGTGACCCATTTGTGAGGTGAAACCAAGGATCTAAGAATTCTGAATGGATATAGTTCATGGCATCCACTCTTTCTCAGCCTGACTAGTTCTGTTCACCTGTTTAGCAGTTGTCCATTAAAATTAAGAAAGTAAGTTCCCATTGTTTAAGATGATGCTTTAACATTTGTAGCAAATTCCTTTACCATTTGCTTATGAAGCTGTATCTTTTTAGACAAATATCACAGTTAGCTGGGATCACTGAAACAGTCTATTTCAGTACTGTGTAAGGAATGTATAAGTAATTGGTTACCAAATCAAAGTCCAAAAGTTTGTAACTGATTTAAAAATTTGTGCAGGTTCAAAATCACTCCTATAATAAATGTTCTCTCACTAACTTAAAAAAAAAAAAGTAATCCCTATTGGTCTTTAATGCTCTGAACTTCAATTTTAACATGAATTTTACTTTGTTACTATTGTGCATGTCTATATATATGTATATGTTTCAGTATAAAAATATTACAACTCCATTACAGAAAATTTAAAAGAGAAAATAAAAATTACACATAATACTATTCTAACCTAATCACTGTTATCATTTTGTTATTTCCTTTGAGTTTTTCCCAGACTTTTTTTTTAACATAATTAATAATATATTTTATGTTTGTATCATTAGCATTTTCCATTTTACTGGATTATCTTTATAAAAATCTGTATAACATTCCACTGAGTATCCTGTTATTGTTGGATATATATATAGTTTCCCCCAGCTTTTAAATGTTATAATGTCGTATTCAGCAGCTTTATGTGCATAGCATTTTTTATATTTTATATTTTTTTTAGAGTAGATTACCACACATTTTTATTGCTGTTGCTATATATTATGAAAGTGTTCCCAGAAGATAGTATTAATTGACAAGATCACTAGCAAGGTATGAGGGACCCATTATGTCACATCCTTGAATATTATTTTTTAAGTAATTTTTACTAGTTTAATAAATGAAAATGGCCTCATTTTTTTTGTTTGTTCAGTTAGCACTAGAGATTGGATTTTTTTCAATGTGTATTTACTAGTTCTATTTATTCTTTCATGAATTGTTTATCCTTTGCATACAAGTCTATTAAAGTCTGAGGAATTAACTTTTAAAAATTTCTACACATGTATACATATGTATTTCGTATTAAAAAATTAAAACCGTGTGTATACAAACAAAATGAAAATTAAAAACATTCATATTGCTATCACATAGAAATATCTACTTTTAGAATTTTGAGTGTGTCTTTCTGATTTTTTTTCTTTGTACATCCAGTTTTTTTAAATTATTAAAAACAGTATCACACTTTTAACCTGCCTTTTTCATTCAATATTCAAATGACTTTATATGAAAAATTTAATACTTTTTTTTTCTTGGTAATTCATGCTCATTCCTGAAAATTTGGAAAAATACAGAAAACTATAAAGAAGAAAAACTATGCATCGTTGTACCACCTAGACATGACAACTGTCAATATGTTGTGGTCTTTTCAATTTTCAATGCATATATATTTTTCTTCAAAAGTGAAATCATCCTATATATCTGTTCATTATATTATTATACCTATAAAACGTTCTTTATAATGATTGTTTCATAATTTATTTTAAAATTGTCATGGTCTTATACGTTTAGATTGTTTCCAATTTTCATTAACTTAAATGTTCTTAATAAGCATCTTTTTATAAAAATCTTTGTTCTTATTGCTAATTGTTTCCTTATTTCTATTCATCTTTTATAAGTGTTAAAGATTATAAATATTTGAAGACTCTTAATATCTATTGCCAAATTGCTTTCCAGAAAGGTAATTTACACAATTTATACTCCCACACCTCATCACAGCTCACCAACATTACCTATTATCTAATTTTTAAATATTTGGTAATTTGGTAACTAAAAAATGACATCTCATTGTTTTTGTACATTTCTTAAATTTTATTAATAAGAATAATAGGATCTCACAAGAACATATTTTAACAAAATGAAGTAGGCTCTTCCTAGTGGGTATTTGTAATGACTATAACTTGGACATATGTACGTGTGTGTGTGTGTGCACAAGCACAACCTCTGGAGTACTGTGACTAAAATAGAACTTTTTTTTTTTCTTATAGGTCTTGGTATCTTGATGGACAAACACTACTGATAATTATTTGCATTGCCATTGTGTTCCCTCTTGCACTTCTTCCCAAAATAGGTAAGTCTTTTAAAAAGAAGACATGATTTGTTTAAAAGAAAGAAAATACTAAGGGACTTTTAAATTTCATAGTACCACATTTCTAGCAGAAGGGTAGTGGTTGTGAATAATGTTAAACTTGGCCTTATTTTAAGTTGTTCAGCCTTCAGTCCTGCCTAGTTAACCTATTACTTGGTTTGCAGTAGTATTTTGTCTGCCCCACTAAAATAAAATCTTTACAGCGGAACATTAAAGAGCAGCCTTTTCTTACAGGGTACCATTAGTGGTAAGCCAGTTCCAATTCTGCTCTACAGAGCTACATAAATGATCTGTGACAGATAGTTGGAATGTTGTTATTCTGAGCCCTAAGCCCCAGATACAAAGCACTGTAATAGAAAACATGCTCAAGATGTATAGCTTTAGCTGTACATTAAGATCACTTTCCTTATAAATTTGCTTTTTATTTTACTGTTATTTTACAGGCTTCCTTGGCTACACAAGTAGTTTATCATTTTTCTTTATGGTGTTCTTTGCTCTTGTGGTAAGTTTAAAGTACAGTGCATTGCTTATGTCACTAAAATTGGGCTCATTGTATAAATGTCTTTTTTTTTTTTTTTCCTCTTGACTCTGTTTTGTGTTGGGAAGGGTATCCTATGTTATTTCAATGTGTTATTAAAAGTACTTTTGCTTCACAAAATTATTTTCCTTCATTTTATCTATTTTGAAAAGGCTTAGAAAGAGTAGCATTTCAAATTCATCATCTCTAGAGAGGAGAGCAAACCAAAATCTGTTAAAACTCTAGAGTATAATTTTTGTGTAGGTATGTGTATAAATTTGTTTCTTTACAATATTGTGTCTTTGTGTGTGTGTGTTCAGGCATCAGAATCAAGCTGGTTCTAATCTATAAACCTAATTTGATACTTGTCATCTTAATTTTGAAACTGTTCCGTTAATGAAACCAGAGCTTCTGGGACTTAGCCATTGAGGGGAACTAGTAAGAACTGGGGCACCCGAGTTCTCCTGGCTGGTCTGGTTTATTCAGCATAGATAAGCTCTCATAAAAAAGACTAATGCAAAGAGTTACTTTTCTCACATATAGAATATATTTTTCTCATTTTTAACTAGCTCATTTTTATTACAACATAAGAAAAATATCAGATAATAAATTTAACTTATTTTTATGTTTACAAAACAATTGAAATGTAAAAGGGAATTTGAATTTCAGATTTCCTTTTAATTCTTCTAAAACAGATTGTAACATCCTAAAGACAGTACCTTTGTGTGAAATTTTGAAAAAAATCCTGTTTCTCTTTGCATAGCATTTTATTCCACAGTCAATATTTAAGTGTCAAACCTTAAGTAGGATTAAACGTTTTAAACTTACCAAGAAGATACATAACCAAATGGCCTTTTCACAAGCTTGGTTAAACTGTCCCTTGTTATTGAGAAATGAATTAAAGAAAACTGCCATATGTAAGAGCAAAACAATACATCAGTAGTTAAGCCATATTATAGTGCCAGATTTTAGTGCTGTCAAAACAATCTAGGATGCATTTAATTTAGGCTATACTATCTTCTGAGATACAGGGATAAACAACTTTAGATTATTTAAATATTATGTGGAAGTGACCCTGGTTTCAGTGTACATAAACATACTTTAATGCCCTTAAAGCTAAAAAAAAAAAAACTTAGCAGTGTTTGTATTTACTGTAATACTTTGTTGAATTTATCAACATTAAAATCATTGTGCTCCTCCAAAATTGTCTGACTTGTATCTTAAAAATAAGTGAATTGAGTATACACTTCCTAGGCTTCATGTTAAACAGGGAAACCTAGTAAATATTTTCATTATAATCATTAGGTGTGCCCTACATATGCAAATGAACATATGCATATAAAAGAGTACCAATATAAGTAAAATACTAAATTTTTCCCTCACAGATAATTGCCAATCCAAATGTTGCATAGGTAGAAGTAGTTTCATTTTCATAGCCAAGAGTTTTGAAGCAGGTCAAATGAATGTATGAATATGATATGTCTGCTGTAGTCTGCACTGTATTCATTTCCGTCATTGACAGATACTTTTTATTCAGTGCAGATTTCTACTGAAGCAGTCATGTGGAAATAATACCTGTGTTCTGCATTTATTATAATGCTTTACAAACCATCTGCTCAGATTATTTTACCTGTGAGCACAATTTAAATTTGGCCTACAGTGGGACAATGAAGAGCACCCTGTATACTTTAATGCTGTTTTTAGTTGGCATACTTACCTTAGAATCTGTAAGTGTTAAATTTTCAAATACGTAAAACCAACCAAATCTGAAGAACTGAGGAGTGAGGGCAGCACTTATACATCAGAAATCCGTGAGCTCCCCTTTTGCATAAGGTCTCTACTTATTTCTGCCCACGGCCTTTTCCAGATAGAACTGTGCTCCGTAGGGTTTTCAGTGGCTGATTTTTTGGAAATAGATCGCCAGGCCTGTCTCCCAGGGCATCTCTAGGTGGATTCAAACCACCAGCCTTTCAGTTAGCAGTCAAACATGTTAAGCACACAGCTACTAACTGAAAGGTTGGCAGTTTGAACGCACCCAGAGACACCTCAGAAGGCAGGCCTGGCGATCTGCTTCCAAAAGGTCACAGCCTTGAAAACCCTATGAAGCAGTTCTACTGTGCACACATGGGGCCACCATGAGTTAGAATCAACTCAACAACAACCAACAACAACAGCAACAGCCATTCAGGGACTCCCGGTACATAGGAAGTGCCTGATAAACGGTTATTGCTATCACCACCTCTGCTAAAGCCAAAACCAGTTGCCACTGAGTTAATTGCAACTCTTGGTGACCCATGTGTGTCAGAGTGGAACTGTGCTCCATAGGGATTTCAATGGTAGATTTTTCAGAAGTGAATTGCCAGACCTTTCTTCCATGTCGTCCCTGGGTAGACTTTAACTTCTAACCTTGTGGTTACCAGCCAAGCACATTAACTGTTTGCACCACCCAGGGACTCTCCCAGCTCAGCTAGTAAGGGAAAAAAAGAGGAACTAAATATGGAGCAGGGCTGAAGAGAGAAACCAGTAACAACTTTACTTCTCTAGCTTCTTCACCCTATTCTCATTCATATTTTGAAAACCCGTCAGAAAAAAGATTGTGAGATTATTGCTTGGATTTTTTTTTTTCTTTCCTTTTGTTAAGTTGGTCATTTAAATGTATTTCATATTAAAAATGTACCTGGAAATGTCAAAGCAACTTACCCAGTTTATCCTTATAACTCTTTTTCTCCCCCCTTGGTGAGGATTTTAATTAAGAGTAATCTTTAGTTCACTCATTAATTTAATCCTAAAAGTATATATTTCCCTTAAATTTGCTTTGTCACTGTAACATTTTTTATTGCATTAGTTAAAATTCAAAATTAGACAAATACTAAATAGGAATTGGAATAGTGTTTTACTTACTGTTCTCCTGCAAAGGGCAAATTCTTTCTTTATTTTCCTTTTCCCCTTTGTACGCTGGGTTTCAGCCTGGAGCAAACATTTACAGAGTAATTATGTGCCCTGAAACAACGGCAAAAATGGTAGTGTTGACACAACCACATCTATAGGTCTAGGAACAGGATGGCCACAATTAAGAGTAAAATCTTGAAACATTTTCATTGATTATTTCTGGGAAACAACATCCCTCTGGATTTCTTTTAATGTTTTTTTTTTTTTTTTAAATTTATTTTTACCAGCTGGGATTCCCTAGCTATATGCCCTTATTCTTAGCCAGCTTTCTCCATAGTCACCAAAAATAATACAAATCTGAAGAACTGAGGGTGGGAGAGGGGGTGGGGCAGCACTTATTAATCAGAAACCTCTGAGCTCCCTTTGCATAAGGTCTCTACTTATTTCTGCCTGTGGCCTTTTCCAGAACTGCTATTAATATTTTTCTAAATGCTACTGATGCCAGGTCTACAAATAACCATATTTTTGTCCTACTGTCACTGAAAACATTGTGTTCTCATTTTGAATTGAATTTTTTTTTTTTTAATGGCTTGATGCTATTAGAGTTTTAAAAGTTGATATGAGAGTACTCTTAGTGTTTACTGGGGAGATCTCCACTGGACAGATGTGCAGCACCCTCCACCCCCATGCGTGACTATATTTTATTCTATTGAATGATGATCCCAATCTAACTTGCTCTGTTTAAATATAAACTGGGGGAAATCATATGAGCAAAGGATCTTCTATTAACATCTTATTTGGTATGGTGTTAGATTTATTTGAAATAAAGCTGATCTATTTGAAATCAATCTCTTTTCATAAATTTTTTAAGAAATAATTTGAGTGCCGACTTTGTTTATTTTTATAGGTAATAATTAAAAAATGGTCCATTCCTTGTCCTCTGCCATTAAATCACATAGAGGAATATTTCCAGGTAATACCTTATATTTTCTTTCTTTTTATTTTAAGCTAAAAAAAATAATCAGAGTAATGATCTATTTCTAATTAATAACTGCATTTGGGAACACTGTTTTGAAATATTTTTATTTGAAAGCCTAGTAATATAACGTTTATCATTTTTCTTAATGTATTCTGACTCTTAATTGCTGTTGGTTTCTCTTTTCCCCCCAATCCTCTTAAACAGATTTCAAATGCTACAGTTGATTGTAAACCAAAGCTCTTTCATTTCTCCAAAGAGGTGTGTAAGTTATTAACAGATACTTTTGGTTGATTTTCCACATTTCAAGTTTTAAAAGATTTGTGTAACAGGGTCTCATAAGTCTTTGTACCTGTAACTAATTAATTTTCACAAAAGTACTAAGTATAGGTCCGCCTTACCAGAAGAATAATATTATTTGACACAGGGTGGCCCATTATGAAACAGCCACCTTTTTTTTTTTTTTGGCATGTCTTTAAATGGGGCCTGTTTTAAATGGGCACTGCTTAAGAGAACAGATTTACGGAATGTCTGGTCTGGCCAATAAGGTCCTCTGTGGATACAGACTTCCTGTTGCCCTCTGGACTTGTAAAGCTAAAGAGTCAATTACATCAAAAACTCCTCCATTGTGAGTGGAACCTTGGTCTATAGCTAAACAGCTTCATCACTGAAAGCAAATTGAGTACTGCCAATATGTCTTCTAGCCGACCTTCCAAAGTTGAAACTTATGATGCCTGGAGCAGAGAAGAGAAGACCAAATCCCTAAGGCCCTAGGATACCCTACTTTTCCATCCACAAGCTGGAAATAGCTGCAAGAGCCCCTGAGAGTCAGCAGAGGAAACAGGAACTATAATCTTGGTCTGTGTCTCTGCTTCACCAGTCTAGAAGAGTGTGACGTCCCTCCTATTGCTGAAGTATCTTCATCATTACTTTTTGATTCTGCTGAAATGTTATTTTGTAGGTCACAGGTACTCTCTCCACTCATGTACAACTCTATTAGTGTAGAACGTTAGGGTGGTCGCTCCTCTATGCAACCTTTTCCTTCTAATCCCCAGTTTTTAATGTCTTTCCAGTCCCACAGCGAGGTTACCACATCTTTTACATGGTAAAGACTTCCATGTGCTTTAAGGATCTTGGTAGGGTAATTGACAAGCCAGGAAATTGAGTAATATGTGAAACAGAAAATTTGTGAATCAAACTCTCATTTCCCTAATCCAGTCTCAGGAAACATTACAGCTTTCTACCTCCCAGCCTTCTTCAGATATTTTAGGAGTCTAGGCTTTATGTCCCAAGATAAGTCTTCAGTCATCTGGAACTTCTTTTGCTGAAGAGCCTAGAGTTGGTTGGGGTGAAATTTTTTTAGAGCAAAAAAGAGAAAGTAAATTACCATCCATTTTGCAGAAACAGTGTTTTTATTTAGATGGTACCATTGGTTTGTTTTGTAACTTCCTTTGGCTTTTGTATATTCTAATTAAAAAACAAACAAACAAACTTAGGCTGGTTCACTAAGAATATGTAGGTCTAGAATAGATGATGTTCATTCTTATTAAAAAATATCCTATTCAAAGATCCTGGCAATACTAAAATAAGATTAATATTTTCAGTATTCCCTGTAGACTGAGTTGAAGAAAGCAGGTTTGAAGGCTTTAACTATTATTGTTTATCAGGGTAATGAAATGTATTTAAGTTGCATACATTAGGAAAGCCTGGGAATTACAATAAGAACAAAATGTTATTATTTTTATTTTACCTAAATACTATTTATCTGACCTAAATTATTTTTGGGAGCGCTGGTGACACAATGGTTAATCACTCGACTGCAAACTAGAAGGTGGGGAGTTGGAACCCATCAGCTTCTCCAAGGGAGAAAGATGTGGCAGTCTGCTTCTGTAAAGATTTTTAGCCTGGGAAACCCTATAGGGCAGTTCTACCCTGTCCTTTAGGGTCGCTATGAGTCAGGATTGACTTGATGGCAACAGGTTTGGTTTTTTTGGTTTTAAATTATTTTTATCTTACCCAAATAATATAGATGAATCAGTGATGCCGATAAACAAAAATTGTGTTTTTTTTGGACTAGGGATGGATATTTAACTTAATCTGGTAATACAGAATCTGTTGTATTGTTAGTAAAAGCACCATGGTATGGGAAGGGAGCCAAGAAACATTCTGGCTAGTACAGGCAAGCCAGCAATCAATTCAGACATTTGCTGTTGGCCATAACTGTGTCTCTCTTAATAAAAAAAAAAACTTATAAAGACTTGATTCATGAAAAATGAAATAAATGTAACCAAATTTATTTTTTTTTAAAGAATTGAGTTTACTGTCAAATGCAGTAGTGCTTTCAACAGAGTAGCATTTAATAATTTCATCTTTTTTTAAATTTTTTCAGAGTGCTTATGCCATACCAACCATGGCGTTTTCATTTCTCTGCCATACCTCCATATTGCCCATATACTGTGAACTTCAAAGGTACTGTAGAATCCTGGAATATTTTAAATACATTGTTTGTCTCTTTACCTCTAGGACTTTCAAATTGAGTGGCATTCTCCCTTATGAATTCTTTCTTCCCGTCACTGGATTCTAAATGTTAGTTTAAAAAAAACAAAAACAAATAAAACAAGAGTTAGTTATGTCCAAGTTGAGTATGCCACCTGGAAGTGTAATCTTTGTGTAGTAATTTCATATCAGGGCTCTAGTGTATAGTTATTAATGACCTGGGTTTGAATGGTTAAGAAATCCTCTTGACTAGGTTGGGACATATTTGTTTCTTTAGGTATAATTCAGATTACTGATTATACTTCTGCCATTTTTTGTCTTTTAGCCCTTCGAAGAAAAGAATGCAGAATGTAACCAATACTGCAGTTGCTTTAAGTTTTCTCCTTTATTTTATATCTGCACTCTTTGGGTACCTCACTTTTTATGGTAAGTGTATTCTTTAATTATAGATGACAAAACCTTGGCTAAATTATTGTAGAGATGTTCTCATACCTGAGTATGAACTTTATTTCTACCTTTCATTTATAAATTAATTTGTTCAGGCTGCCAGATTACAATGCAGTGTACTGTGGAGGCCCTAGGGGCCTTAAAGAATTGATTCACTTTCTCTTATAAAGGTAAAGCAAGTCCAAGGTTAATCACTTCATATGAAAATTTTTTTAAACACCTAAGTAAAACTTCAAGCTTAGGGATACTGACGTGTTTTTACAAGAAAAAAATGTTCAATAATTCTATCTTAATTGAGAATTCGATATATTAGATACTGTCAGGATATGAGGGGGTCATTCATCTTAACTGAAAAAGAATAAATTGAGAAAGGAAAAGATTTTATACTGGACTGTAGTTATACACTTACATGTAAGAGATCTTGGCCTTCAGACTTAATTATCCCAGGATCCAGCAGGTGTGTATTCTGTGATGCACTACCACTTTTCTTCTTAATTAAAAAAGAAAAAATTCTTTTAAACTCATAAAATAAAATTCAAATTCTCTTTTATTTTTGAAAAATTTCTGCTTAGTATTTTTTTTTCCTTCCAATAAGAACCTCAAGCAAAAGTAAAACTTAAAACTCTAGAAAAAGGAAAACAATTTGTCAGCTTTCATTTAATTTGCAAATATATTTGTTTAATTTGCAAACAAGCAAATTATAACACAAATTACACTCAATTTGTCAAATTCTTGCAGTGTCTTTGCAGTGTGATGGATCACTTTTATATGGCCTTTCTAGCCACAGTCTTGTAACTCCCACCAAAAGATTTGGTGAAACTATGCAAATGAGGTGCTTGTGGCCCACCAAGGGATTAGACAGTTTGCTAATAATGCAAATAAAGTGCATGGTACCCTTGTGTGAGTGGGACTATGCAAATAAGGTGTATGGAACCCTAATGAGGGGATTGGTCAATTTTGGCATCCTGTCAGGCTTAATATGAGCCATCCCAGAGGCAGAAAGGGGGGACCTCACTACCGCCAAGAAAAGATAGGAATAGAGCATGTCCTTTGGACCTGCGGCCCCTGCCTGAGGACCTCCGAGACCCAGGAGACAGAGAGAGAGAATTGTAACGTTGGAGAAGGCATGAGACAACGAGAAGCAGAGGCAGAGAAAAGGCAGCAGAACCAGGAGCCCGTGTGAGGTGGTGCAGTGGGCTTCCCAGCCCATGGAGCAAGGCGGCTACAGTGGGTGTGCCAACCCATGAAGTGAGAGCTGAGCACTTTCAGGCAGGAGGCTTACTGGAGGAGTGGGGTGCCCCCGGGCACTTATTGGCAGAGCTAAAGAGCTTTGTAACACTTGCCCAAGCAGTGCAGAGGCCAGGCCAAGGGGCCAAGGGCCAGAGAGAGGCCTGCCGGTGGGCCCGGCTAAGAAGCTGTCCTGACCAAAGAACTGTATCCTGAGTAGTTCCTGATCCTGAATTGTAACCTGTTACTTCCCTAATAAGCCCCATAACTGTGAGTATGGTCTGTGAGTTCTGTGTGGTCATTGCAATGAATTATCAAACCCAGCAGAGAAGTAGAGAGTGCCATGGGAGGGACAGCTGGTGTCAGAATTGGTAAAAAGGTTGGAAGGTGGAGGTATGTCTCACCTCCACTTCATAACAATCAGCATTAGGCTGTTGATGCTAATGATTCTCCTTCCCCCTTGTGAAGTTAGACGAGGCGATCCGTCACCCCCATGCCACCATTTTTAGTCTTCACCTCCTAATCTGTAACATGGGGTAACTGCATAGGGTTGTATTGAGGAGTAAATGAGTTTTGCATGAAATACTTGTTACAGTACCTGCTATATAGCAAAACCAAAATCCAGCTGCTGTCGAGTCGATTCGACTCTATGTGTGTCAGAGTAGAACTGTGCTCTGTAGGGTTTTCAATAGCTGATTTTTTGGAAGTAGAGGGCCAGGCCTTTTTTCAAGGCGCTTCTGGGTAGTCCTCCACAAATGAGAACTACTGCTGGTGCTGTGTTACTATTAATATTATCATTATTATTATAATTGTTTTATAATTTCACTTGCTTTATTTTTCAGCACTGCATTTCTCTTACTATCTTTAATAAAATTTAATTTAAATATGGTAACTTTTCAGGGTGTGCTGTGAGTATTATCTTGGAGTTTTCTGCATGTGAGAAAGCTATAGTTGCTCTATATAGTCCTTTTCTTGCTATCTCTATATTATTTAAACAATAATAAAGGCTGTCCATCAGTTTAAATCTGCTCTTGCATTTGTGTATTCATGCCAGCAATCCCTGGTAGCATGAGAGCAGTAGAGCTCTGTGCACACCATCAGGAGAAGCATTATTGCCAGTCAGAGCATGGTGCCCTGCACATATACTGTAAAGAAAGCTAAAACAGATAGCCACATTTCTCATGAAATATATTAGCTCTATTTTTGGTTGTTGAATTTGTTGGTTTTTATGAAGACCTGAGCTCAGTAAGACTGTATCAGTAAGATACTGTAGCAGGATCTCTGCTGAGATTCTACAAAGAGTATAGCAGAATAGCTGCATATTTTTAGAATTTAAAATTGTCACCTGGCACAAATACTATTGTATTTAGGGATCTTTAAGACAGAGCAAAAGTCCAAAAAAGCGGACCTCATTCTTCTCTCCTCCCTCAAAAAAAATAAGTAGGACTATCTGGAAGAAACCTCAGATGACCTACCTATCTCCAGTATGACTGAGAAATAGTTACATGAATCACCATTAGATGCTTAAGAGTTGTACTAAATTATAAGAAAGCTTAGATTCAAAGGGAATTGGAGGAGGGATGAATGCTAATAAGTTTATCGAGCTAGTATTTTTTAAGTAAGTACCAGGTATTTTACATACATTGCCTAACTTAATCCTTTCAACAACCCTGTAAATTGGGTGTAGGTTCACGTAGGTTGAGCATTTTGGCCAGATACATGCAGCTAACAAATAATGGAGTCAGGATTTGAATCCAGTTCTGTTTGTCTCTAAAGTCAGTGCCTTATTACTGTGCTGCCTACTCAGGAATTATGCTATAAAACCCAGCTTTCTCTTGTTCCAAGTTTCTGTTAAAGTGAACTTTTGGAAAAACTCACTTAAGCTCCAGCCATATCTGTATATCTATCTACCTCCCTACCTACCTATCTATCTCTCTATATCTATCTATCTGTAATTGTTGTTTGGCCTCAGAGATCACACAGAGGCTAAAGATTTTCATGCATGCAAATTAAACATTTCTTAGGGATTTGCCTGGTTATCAAGTAAAGCTGTAATTTTATCTCTGACTTAATTCCTTCTCCACCAGTGCATATTCTTCAGAGTATCCAAATGTTATATAGTGGAGAAATAGAAAACTAAGAAAAATCACGTGGTAGGTAGGTGTCATTTTTATGCAAATAATGGGCACCTACATTTCTTTGCCAACCGCACCTCCCCCCAGGTATTGTTGTAAATGTGCTATGCTAATTTCTTTTTTCAGCAACATGTAGAAAAAAATTGGCATAGTGACACTTATGAAAATACCTGGGGCTGGGGGGAGGGAGCAGTTGGCAAACAAATGTGGAAAGTGTGCGTTATTTGTGTAAAAATACAGTAAGTAGGTAGGTAGGTAGAAGATTAGATACATAGATAGACAGACTGATATGAAAGTTATTCCTTCTCTAAAGGCAGAAAAAGATTCAGATACTGATTTGCTGTTCACACTGGGTTTTTTTTTTTTTATTATTTGTTAAATAAATCATAAACAAGAAAAATCTTTTATGGTATCTTTTTATCAGTGTAACAGTAATTCTCAGTCTCATGAAATTTCTTATTGAGACTGAGATCTTGTCAAAAGGATTGGTCATGGGTTAAAGTCTTCAACCCATTTTACAGATGAGCAGTTGAGGCCCAGAGAGATGCAGTGACCTATCACACAATTAGTGGCATATTTCCTGAATAAAAACCTAGTGTTCTTTCTGCTACTCTGCGATAATCTTCATAAACTTCATGCCCTGTTTGACAATGTGTATTGAACAGGACAGCCTCCTGACTTCAAAGGCATATGTAACTTGCAGAGGTCACCATCAATTTCTTACTAAGATTTGTAGAGATTTGTCTGAATCAGAGAAGCTTGTTTTACTCTATCCCTTACATATGTTAAGGCTCAGCTAAGAACACAGACTTGACTGGCTCAGAAGAAAGGTTTTCATCCTAAGAGGATAGAAAGTAGACATGTGACAGGTATTTTGAATTTGTAATAAATCTAGTTTTTCAGGCATCCTGCTTGGGATCCTTTTATGCAGAGCTCCCAAAGCCTAGTTTATATCTAAATTTTGTCAGATTAAGGTGACCTATAAGTATGTACCTAGATTAATAATACTTGCTCTGATTACAGATGTTATAGCCTTATAGGACAAGGAAGAGAAAAGTGTGCCTCTGGTGAACCAGGCCAATGAGCAAGTGTTGCAAGATTGTTGCTGTTAGGTGCCATTGAGTTGGTTCCGACTCGTAGCAAACCTGTGTACAACAGAACTAGCTGGTCCTGCACCATCCTCACAGTCATTGCCACGTTTGAGCCCATTGTTCCAGCCACTGTGTCAGTCCATCTTGTTGAAGGTCTTCCTCTTTTTCGCTGACCCTCTACTTTACTAAGCATGATGTTGTTCTCCAGGGACTGGTCCCTCCTGCTAACATGTCCAAAGTATGTGAAACGAAATCTCACCATCGAAGCTTCCAAGGAGCACTCTGGCTGAACTTCTTTTAAGACAGACTTATTTGTTCTTCTGGCAGTCCATGGTATATCCAATATTCTTTGCCAGCACTATAATTCTTTTTCAGTCTTCCTTATTCCACGTCTAGCTTTTGCATGCATATGAGGCGATTGAAAATACCATGGCTTGGGTCAGGTGCACCTTAGCCCTCAAAGTGACATCTTTGCCTTTTAACACTTTAAAGAGGTCTTTTGCAGCAGATTTTCCCAAAGTAACAC